CCAGAGTGGTGCAGGACTCTTCCATAGATCCACCTTGGTCCACCGCTGCAGAGGCAGCTTCTCACTCGGACTGATTCAGTGGAAAGTCTCTCTCTTTGCCTCAGTCTCTGAAAACACGACTCGATGATGTTTCTTTGAGCTGCTGTGAGAGAGCGATCCAAAACCCGACCGCTGCCGCGGTGGTTGATGGTCTCTCCCACAGAAGCCGGGGCTGGTTCTGATGGACGAGCGGAACGAGGACCACAGCCTCAGAACCACATCCATCTGGTTTCTCTCGCTTTATCCGTTGCAGAGACAGACTTCCCTCTTCACAGACACCTCCTGCAGCTCCTCTGGGGAATCCTGAAGCGTTCCCAGCCCAGGCCAGGTCTGGGATTCTCTCTGGTCTCTCTCTCTGGTCTCTCTCTCGGCTCTCTCTCTGGTCTCTATCTGGTCTCTCTCTGGTCTCTCTCTGGTCTCTCTCTCGGCTCTCTCTCTGGTCTCTATCTGGTCTCTCTCTGGTCTTTCTCTCGGGTCTCTCTCTGGTCCCTCTTTGGTCTTTCTCTGGTGTCTCTCTGGTCTCTCTCTGGTCTCCCTTTCTGGATTTATCTCAGGTCTCTTTCTGGTCTTTCTCTCACTCTGAGGCCAGCGAGTGAGAGAGACACCAGAGAGAGACCAGAGAAAGGTCAGAGAGAGAAAGACCAGAATTAAGGAGATGTTATTGAACATGCGGGCGGGCCCTTTTCCAGGACTGAGGCTGTAGACCCAGGACTGAGGCTGTAGACCAGGACTGAGGCTGTAGACCCAGGACTGAGGCTGTAGACCCAGGACTGAGGCTGTAGACCCAGGACCTGCTTCTTCAATCATCTTTAATCCTCTGCTGTCAAGTGTCACTCTTCCTCTGGTTCTAATTCTACCTGAACAGAACGAGCCCTCTCCTCGGCAGGTTCTAGTCCCTCAGGACCATAAGAGGCATCGATCCTTGTCGTGAATGAGATGCACACTCATTAATCTGCTCATCTCCCGCTCTCCAGAGACCCACACGAGGCTAGTCCTGGACCACTGCCCCCTCTCCTCTTCTGACCACCTCCTCCTCTTCCCTCTCTTCTCTCCTCATCTCTCCTACTCCCTCTTGCTCCCTCCCTGCCCTGTCTCTCTTGCTCTGTCCTTCTCTCTCTTCCTCCCTCCTCCTCTCTCCACCTCCTCTCCCCTCTCCTCCTCTCTTCCCCTCCGTCCTTTCTCCTCCTCTCTCCCTCCTCTCCTCCTCCCTCCTTTCTCCACCTCCCTACCCCTTCCCTCCTCCTCCCTCCTCTATCCTCTCTCCTTTCTCCTCCTCCCTCCTCCTCTTTCCTCTCTTGCTCCTCCTCTTCTCCTCTCTCCCCCTCCCTACTCCTTCCTTCTCCCCCTCCCTCCTCCTCTGCCGTTGGGATCGATGTCTGCAGAACTAGCATGACGAGTGCTGAAGCCAAGCTCTGTCTTTTACGACCGCATTAATAATGAATCATCTCAAACTCTGGCCCCCAACACTTCCCTCCAGCCACTGCTAATGAGACACATAGAGTCGTTTCAGCCGCTAACGACCACAACGACAGGCCATAAAACAGACCAGCAAGACCACGGACCGGACCGAGAGATGAGGACCACAAACGCCATCACCACGGACCGGACCGAGAGTCCTGGATCTACAGCCTCAGTCCTGGGTCTACAGCCTCAGTCCTGGGTCTACAGCCTCAGTCCTGGGTCTACAGCCTCAGTCCTGGGTCTACAGCCTCAGTCCTGGGTCTACAGCCTCAGTCCTGGGTCTACAGCCTCAGTCCTGGATCTACAGCCTCAGTCCTGGGTCTACAGCCTCAGTCCTGGGTCTACAGCCTCAGTCCTGGGTCTACAGCCTCAGTCCTGGGTCTTTCAGGGGAGGTCTGTGCTGAGACCAAATCAAACGAGATGATTCCATAAATAAAATCATATTGGTTAAGTTGATTAATGCAGAACTTGAGGATTCTGAGCCGAGTGAAGGTCTCTGAAGACGGATCTGGGTCTAACGGAATGAAATGTGCTACACAGATAAATATTACATACTCACTCACTAAAGAGAGAGTCAGCCTTGGAGCAGGGACTGTAAACGGACGGATGAAGCTGAGGGGAAGTGCTCATGGTGGAAGTTTGGCTCATATTGACTTGCATTTAAATGAGTATAGAGAGAGCAGAGAGAGAGACAAGAGAGAGAGACCAGAGAGAGATGAGAGAGAGACCAGAGAGAGACAACAGAGAGACAAGAGAGAGGGACCAGAGAGAGACCAGAGAAACCAGAGAGAGACTAGAGAGAGACCAGAGAGAGAGCAGAGAGAGAGCAGAGAGAGACCAGAGAGAGACTACAGAGAGACTAGAGACCAGAGAGAGACCAGAGAAACTAGAGATAGACTAGAGAGAGACCAGGGAGAAACCAGAAAGAGACCAGAGAGAGACTAAGACCAGAGAGAGACCAGAGAGAGACCAGAGAGAGACCAGAGAGAGACCAGAGAGAGACCAGAGAGGGACCAGAGAGAGAGCAGAGAGAAACCAGAGAGAGACTAGAGAGAGACCAGAGAGAGACCAGAGAAACCAGAGAGAGACAAGAGAGAGACCAGAGAGAGACAAGAGAGAGACCAGAGAGAGATCAGAGAGAGATCAGAGAGAGACCAGAGAGAGACAAGAGGGCGACCAGAGAGAGACCAGAGAGAGACTAGAGAGAGACCAGAGAGAGACCAGAGAGAGACCAGAGAGAGACCAGAGAGAGACCAGAGAGAGACCAGAGAGAGACCAGGGAGAAACCAGAAAGAGACCAGAGACTAAGACCAGAGAGAGACCAGAGAGAGACCAGAGAGAGACAAGAGAGAGACCAGAGAGAGATCAGAGAGAGATCAGAGAGAGACCAGAGAGAGACCAGAGAGAGACCAGAGAGAGATCAGAGAGAGATCAGAGAGAGACCAGAGAGAGACCAGAGAAACTAGAGATAGACTAGAGAGAGAGCAGAGAGAGACCAGAGAGAGACTACAGAGAGACTAGAGAGAGACCAGAGAGACCAGGGAGAAACCAGAAAGAGACCAGAGAGAGACTAAGACCAGAGAGAGACCAGAGAGAGACCAGAGAGAGACCAGAGAGAGACCAGAGAGGGACCAGAGAGAGACCAGAGAGGGACCAGAGAGAGAGCAGAGAGAGACCAGAGAGAGACCAGAGAGAGACCAGAGAGAGACCAGAGAGGGACCAGAGAGAGAGCAGAGAGAGACCAGAGAGAGACCAGAGAAACCAGAGAGAGACTAGAGAGAGACTAGAGAGAGAGCAGAGAGAGAGCAGAGAGAGACCAGAGAGAGACTACAGAGAGACTAGAGAGAGACCAGAGAGACCAGGGAGAAACCAGAAAGAGACCAGAGAGAGACTAAGACCAGAGAGAGACCAGAGAGAGACCAGAGAGAGACAAGAGAGAGACCAGAGAGAGATCAGAGAGAGATCAGAGAGAGACCAGAGAGAGACAAGAGGGCGACCAGAGAGAGACCAGAGAGAGACTAGAGAGAGACCAGAGAGAGACCAGAGAGAGACCAGAGAGAGACCAGAGAGAGACCAGGGAGAAACCAGAAAGAGACCAGAGACTAAGACCAGAGAGAGACCAGAGAGAGACCAGAGAGAGACCAGAGAGAGACAAGAGAGAGACCAGAGAGAGATCAGAGAGAGATCAGAGAGAGACCAGAGAGAGATCAGAGAGAGATCAGAGAGAGACCAGAGAGAGACAAGAGGGCGACCAGAGAGAGACCAGAGAGAGACCAGAGAGAGATCAGAGAGAGATCAGAGTGAGACCAGAGAGAGACAAGAGGGCGACCAGAGAGAGACCAGAGAGAGACCAGAAAGAGACCAGAGAGAGACCAGAGAGAGACCAGAGAGAGACCAGAGAGAGAGCAGAGTGTGGAGTGAATGAGTCTTTGGTAAACAGCCTGTGGAGAAAGTCGTGGGAGAGTTTGTTTTGAGTGGGCTGCTTTTTTCTGTTCAGTTTCTTTCGTTTGGAACCTTTAACCGTGAACGTCACGAGTCAGAGCAGCCTCATAACCTCCTCTTTGTTAATATTGTAGCAGCCAAACATCTCAGCGTGTGCTCTCTCTCTGAAGCACATCAGGTCAAAGCACCAGATTTCACATGGTTCAATATCTGCTTCCTTCTGCAGAAAACAGAATCAAAATCTCTCTCTGGTCTCTCTCTGATCACTAACTGGTCTCTCTCTGGTCTCACCTTGGTCTCTCTGGTCTCTCTCTGGTGTCTATCTGGTGTCTCTCTAGTCTCTATCTGGTCTCTCTCTAGTCTCTCTCTGGTCTCACCTTGGTCTCTCTGGTCTCTCTCTGGTCTCTCTGGTCTCTCTCTGGTCTCTCTCTGGTCTCTCTCTGGTCTCACCTTGGTCTCTCTGGTCTCTCTCTGGTCTCTCTCTGGTCTCTCTCTGGTCTCTCTCTGGTCTCTCTCTGGTCTCTCTCTGGTCTCTCTCTCTGGTCTTTCTCTGGTCTCCCTGGTCTCTCTATTCTGTTTTTGGATTATCGAACAGAAGCAAATCCAGGTCTTGGCTTTAAACATGTAGTACCATAAGTCGCTGCTTTGAGGATTAGGAAACTTTAGTGTGTGACTTTGTATCAAACGCACAAAGAGGTGTAAGCGTCAACGATACACGGAGGAAACACAACATCAAAGGAATTCTCTACACAATGTAACGCAAGAAGGGAATATAGAGAGGCTTAATCTGCAGCTGCAGAAGTAAGCAGAGAGAGACCAGAGAGAGAGACCAGAGAGAGAGACCAGAGAGAGAGAGACCAGAGAGAGAAACCAGAGAGAGAGAGACCAGAGAGAGAGACCAGAGAGAGAGAGCAGAGAGAGAGACTAGAGAGAGAGACCAGAGAGAGAGACCAGAGAGAGAAAGACCAGAGAGACAGAGCAGCGGGAGACCAGAGAGACTATTACCCATGTCAGACTTATGAGATTTGTTGTTGCTGGTGCGTTGATGGTTGACTGACCAGAGTTCTCGTCCACCCGCTCCTCCACCGTGTGCTCCTTCTGGTGCACCCACTCGCTGTTGCACTTGAAGTAGATCTGCGTGGCGGGCGTGGCCTTGCAGTACAGGTTGACCGGCTTGTTCTTGACGATGTACGCCTCCTCCGGCTCCATCAGGAAGACCGGCAGAGGCTCCGGGGGGTCCGAGGGGAAGGTCTCCGGCAGCTCCCCCAGACCCAGGAACTCGTCCTCCTCTGGAACTGCAAGAAAGAGAACCAGAACATGGAACCGTGAGTGACACGTATGGTATATCAGCTGGTTCCGAAGACATCGAGAAAGGAGAGAGATTAAAATGAAGCCAGGGAAGAGTTAGTCCGGTAGACTCCCAACTGCAGCCAATCACAACCTTCACTCTCGGCCAATCACAGCACAGCAACCTACACCATTGACATAGCTGGTTAAAAGTCGAAACTTCCAACTTCTCTTCTTTCTCTGGTTTCTCTCTGGTCACTTTCTCTTGTCTCTCTCTCTAGTCTCTTCTCTCTGGTCTCTCTCCGGTCTCTCTCCGGTCTCTCTGTGGTCTCTCTCTGGTCTCTCTCTCTGGTCTCTTTCTGTGGTCTCTCTCTGGTCTCTCTCTCTGGTCTCTCTCTGGTCTCTCTCTGGTCTCTCTCTGTGGTCTCTCTCTGGTCTCGCTCTAGTCTCTATCTCTGGTTTCTCTCTATAGTTATCCAGCCAGTCTTGTCTTAGCCCAACACTTTCTCACAAGTAGCGAGTACATGCTAACACACACACACACACACACACACACACACACACACACACACACACACACACACACACACACACACACACACACACACACACACACACACACACACACACACACACACACACACACACACACACACACACACACACACACACACACACACACACACACACACACACACACACACACACACTAATGACCTCAGGCTTCTGGCCCAGTTTGTGCCATTCCTCGGATACTTCTACAGTCGACAGATACGCTTCCCTGTAATTACCACTCGCTTTCATCTCCCTGTTTTAAATCACACACAAACATGGACCCAACACAGGGGGAGGGAGGGGGAGGAGGGGGAGGGAGGGGTGAGGCAGGGGTGAGGCAAAGAGCACGCAAAAGAGATGAGAGAGAGAGACCTGTACGATCAGAAAAGAGACTCAAGAGAGAAACCAGGGATAAACCTCACAGATATCAAAGAGAGAGAGAGACCAGAGAGACCAGAGAGAGACCAGAGAGACCAGAGAGAGACCAGAGAGAGACCAGAGAGACCAGAGAGAGACCAGAGAGAGAGCAGAGAGAGACCAGAGAGAGACCAGAGAGAGACTAGAGAGAGACCAGAGAGAGACCAGAGAGAGACCAGAGAGAGACCAGAGAGAGACCAGAGAGAGACCAGAGAGAGAGCAGAGAGAGAGCAGGAAGAGACCAGAGAGAGAAACCAGAGAGAGACTATTAAAAGAAAGAACAAGGACTGCAGGTTGTTCCAGTTAACAGCCTTGTGTGAAACTTTATAACTCTTCGAAGAAAGAAGAGAGAGAGGGAGAGGGAGAGAGAGAGAGAGACAGAGAGAGAGAGGGAGAGAGAGAGAGAGAGAGATACAGAGATACAGAGAGAGAGAGAGAGGGAGAGAGAGAGAGAGAGAGATACAGAGATACAGAGAGAGAGAGAGAGGGAGAGATGAAGACTTATGGACTGCCTATTTGTCACCTCAAGATCTGTTCTATTCTTACCATCGAACCGGTCGCATCAATTATTCAGAACAGTGAAAGACGGAGAGGTAATGGAGACAGACGAGGAGAGGGTGAGGAGGGGTGAGGAGGGGTGAGGCAGGGGTGAGGCAGGGGTGAGGGAGGGGCAAGGCAGGGGTGAGGAGGGGGTGAGTAACTTATCCGCGGACACAGATTGAGATGGACAGGGACACAGAGCAGACACGAGCGATCAGAGGGAGCTACGTTGATAACAAAATGAGACCAGAGAGAGACCAGTGAGAGGACGGAGAGAGACCAGAGAGAGACCAGAGAGAGACCAGAGAGAGACCAGAGAGAGACCAGAGAGAAACCAGAGAGAGACCAGAGACCAACTCATTGACACAGATTGAGATGGACAGGGACAGAGCAGATTAACAAATGCCTTATCGGACCATCAGTGATTCTCTCTGCCGTCCCTGGACCAGCGAGGACAAGCAGGAGCCCTGAAGTCTGCTCTTTCTAGTCCCTCAGATTAAAAATATCCACAGAACGTTTTTAGAAATGAGAAATCCGAGCAACTGAGCTACTGTCGCTACTGCCGGGGCGACAGTAGCTCAGTTGGTAGAGCATTGGCCTTAAGGCCAGAAGGTCGTGGGTTCAATTCCCACCTCTACACCTTCTCCATCGACTCCCACTGATGACTGCTGTCGTTGTGTCCTTGGGCAAGACACTTAACCCCACTTTGCCCAAAGCCCCCACTGAAAGATCAAGGCTATGCTCACACTCAGAGCAGCCGTCCTCCTGTGGACTCACCACCTGCAGAGGGTCAGTGAGGGGCTGGTGCTATGAGACTTGGGTGGCATCTCTGATTGCCACCTCCCTGACCCAGAAATGGATTAAAGGGTAGAAAATGGATGGATGGATGGAAATCCGAGCACATTGATGTCCCCTGTGTTCGAGTAATGTAAGAAAGGAACAAGAATCACAGCGGATTCAGAGACCAGAGGGAGACCAGAGGGAGAGAGACCAGAGGGAGACCAGAGAGAGAGATTAGAGAGAAACCAGAGAGAGAGACCAGAGAGAGACGAGAGAGCCATTACCACACAAAAAAAGAAAATAACTACAATTATAATAATAATGCATAGGTTTTTAAAAAGCTCTTTTTATTTGTCATAATGTACTTTTTATTATTGTTGTTGTATATTTCTTGTCTGTCTCGTCGGTCTCATGTGTCTGATCCACGTCCGTCCTTTTTCTTAAATAAGTTGTTTATAAACTGCCTTCCCCACATCACTTCGCTCTATCGCCTCATCGCTCTCTCGTCCTGGTCTCTATCTGATGCTTCTGCGGCTGAGGGCCCCGTCACACACAGAGGGGCCCCCAGAACCACCACGAGGCCACAACACTGTTATCTCTGCCCCCCCCCCCACACACACCAGAGGGCGATGGGGACCAGGAAATGAAAGGGTCACCGCTGATAAAACCATAAAACGGTTTAAAGGAGAGAGCTGTAAGTTTGCGAAGGTGGAGTCTCCAGGGGCCTCTATTACTCTGTTTATCTGGGGCCAAAAGAAGTGGATTCTGTGTCTGTCACATTCAGGGATTATATGAAGATGTCTCTCTCTGGTCTCTCTCTAGTCTCTCTCTAGTCTCTCACTAGTCTCTCACTAGTCTCTCTCTAGTCTCTCTCTAGTCTCTCTCTAGTCTCTCTCTAGTCTCTCTCTAGTCTCTCTCTAGTCTCTCACTAGTCTCTCTCTGGTCTCTCTCTGGTCTCTCTCTGGTCTCTCTCTGGTCTCTCTCTGGCCTCTCTCTAGTCTCTCTCTAGTCTCTCACTAGTCTCTCTCTAGTCTCTCTCTCGCCTCTCTCTTGTCTCTCTCTTGTCTCTCTCTAGTCTCTCTCTAGTCTCTCTCTAGTCTCTCTCTAGTCTCTCACTAGTCTCTCACTAGTCTCTCTCTAGTCTCTCTCTGGCCTCTCTCTGGTCTCTTTCTGGCCTCTCTCTAGTCTCTCTCTAGTCTCTCACTAGTCTCTCTCTAGTCTCTCTCTCGCCTCTCTCTTGTCTCTCTCTAGTCTCTCTCTAGTCTCTCTCTAGTCTCTCTCTAGTCTCTCACTAGTCTCTCACTAGTCTCTCACTAGTCTCTCTCTAGTCTCTCTCTAGTCTCTCTCTGGCCTCTCTCTAGTCTCTCTCTAGTCTCTCTCTGGTCTCTCTTTGATCTCTCTCTGGTCTCTCTCTGGCCTTTCTCTGGCCTCTCTCTAATCTCTCTCTAGTCTATCTCTAGTCTCTCTCTAGTCTCTCTCCGTCCTCTCTCCAGTCTCTCACTAGTCTCTCTTTGATCTCTCTTTGGTCTCTCTCTTGTCTCTCTCTGGTCTCTCTCTGGTCTCTCTCCGGTCTCTTTTGGTTTCTCTCTCTGGTTTCTCTCCCTGGTCTCTCTCTTTTACATTTTACATGTATCTATGTGATTTATTTTCTTTCCATTGTTTCCATTTTGCCTATATAACATTGTGGATCAGTTGCTGTTGTAAATGTGCCATACAAATAAATCTGTCAGTGTTGTCCATATCAGTATTGCTGGTACCGACGTCTCTGATTGGACGACACATAGAAAGTCTCTGATTGGACGACACTGAGACAGTCTCTGATTGGACGACACAGAGACAGTTTCTGATTGGACGACACAGAGACAGTCTCTGATTGGACGACACAGAGACAGAGACTAAAGTCCTGGAGCTGAAGACCTTGGCTCAGTTCTGCTGCAGCCCTGAGTCCACCCACATCCTCAGCCGGGGACCCTGACCCAGAAACACAACCACAGCCAAGGAAACTCATTACAGACAGAGCTGGCCTCCCTCACACCTCCCTCACCCCTCCCTCATCACTCACCCTCTACTCCCCCTTTCCTCACCCATCGCTGCTGCATCTTCCTCTGCTCGAGCTTTGCCAAACTGTAAGCTACAAACAGACTCAAAAAAATAACAGCAAATACACAAACACACACACACACACACTAGACTAGAGAGAGACCAGAAAGAGACCGGAGAGAGACTAGAGAGAGAAACCAGAAAGAGACAAGAAAGCGACACAAGAGAGAGACCAGAGAGAGGAGCAGAGAGAGAGAGAGACAAGAGCAAGATCAGTGAGAGAGACCAGGGAGAGATAGAGACCAGAGAGAGGGAGGCCAGAGAGAGACAGGAGAGAGATCAGAGAGAGAAAGAGGGAGAACAGAGAGGGAGAGAACCGAGAGGGACAAGAGAGAAACCCTAGAGAGAACAGAAAGAGAACAAAGATCTGAGAGAGACAAGAGAGAGGGGAGAGACCAAGACCAGAGAGAGATTTTACCTCTGTACATGTTTTTAATGGGGAAACCAATGCACACGCAGGGAGAACATGCAAATATCACCTAGAAATAAACGATAACCACTCTGCCAACAGTTCAGATAGTATGATTAGCTGTAATATAGTACTGCCTCCTGTAATACTCTGGCCTAATACTCTGCTTCACTCTGACCCGATATTACCTCAGCTCAGTGTGTGTTAATAAATAAATGATCTCCTGAGTTCTGTATTGATATTTGCAGACCAGAGAGAGACCAGAAAGAGACCAGAGAGACCAGAAAGAGACCAGAGAGAGACCAGAAAGAGACCAGAGAGACCAGAAAGAGACCAGAGAGACCAGAAAGAGACCAGAGAGAGACCAGAGAGAGACCAGAGAGAGAGACCAGAAAGAGACCAGAGAGAGAGACCAGAGAGAGGCCAGAGAGAGAGAGAGCGGAGAGAGACCAGAGATAGACTAGACAGAGACCAGAGAGAGACCATATAGTTCATATTAGAGTTGGCAGGTCTAATTCTTTGACGAGAGAAGACTCGGTGGAGCCGTGGGTTTTGAACACGGACAAATCAAAGCAGGAGCTAAAAGAGAGAGAGAGAGACTGTATGAGAATGTGCACTCTACTCTCTACTCTACCATACCATCTTGTTTCTGTCTATCTTTTCTCTCTCTCCTCCCTCTCTCTCGTCTCGCTCATTCCAGTCTCTCTCTGATATCCCTCTCTCTCTCGTCCATCTCTCTCTGGTCTCTCTCTACTCTTTCATAGAGAGACTAGAGATCAGAGAGAGACCAGAGAGAGACTATGTGATCGGACAGAGAGACCAGAGACAATAGAAAGACACTACTGGGAGACTAGAGAGAGAGAGACCAGACCCCAGAGACAAGAATAGAGTAGAGTATGACCAAACTAAACTTGGTTCATCCGTTTGTGTGATTTTCTAATCTGCTATTGACAAATCTAGTGTAATGTTCAGTTGGTGTATTTTTTGGTCTCGGCTCTGAAAAAAACAACCTCCAAAGTCATCCACAACTGAACAATGGAAACAGTACAGGAGCTAACACACTGTAGCTTTGAATGTCATGCTAGGGGGGAGGAGGGGGGGTGAGGAGAGGGGGAGGCGGCTGAGGAGGGAGGGAGGGCGGTGGTTTGGCTGAGTGGTCAGGCAGAATAATAACAGACTGTGGAGGCATAAACAGAGTGACAGTGCGAGTGTCCATAAATGCATTCACAGAACACCTTTTCCATTATCCTGAAGCAGCGCGGATCAATGCTAACGACGGCCCACGGTCAATACTTGTTAGCATCGGATTAAGCTAAAGCCTCAGTCATCCCAGCGGCGTCCGGCGGCGTCCGGCGGTGTGGACGTGGAGCTCAAGATCGGAGAAAATATATATGAGTAAAAGCAAAAATGGATGGACTATCCTGAGGAATGTCTATAACATAATGTAGAGTAAGCACCATTAGAGTAGAGTAGGGTAGAGTAGAGTAGAGTAGAGTAGAGTAGAGTAGAGTAGAGTAGAGTAGAGTAGAGTAGAGTAGGGTAGGGTAGAGTAGAGTAGGGTAGAGTAGAGTAGAGTAGAGTAGAGTAGAGTAGAGTAGAGTAGGGTAGAGTAAAGTAGAGTAGAGTAGAGTAGGGTATGGTAGAGTAGAGTAGAGTAGAGTAGAATAGAGTAGAGTAGAGTAGAGTAAAGTAGAGTATAGTAAAATAGAGTAGAGTAGAGTAGAGTAGAGTAAAGTAGGGTAGAGTAGAGTAGAGTAGAGTAGAGTAGGGTAGAGTAAAGTAGAGTAGAGTAGAGTAGAGTAGAGTAGAGTAGAGTAAAGTAGAGTAGAGTAGAGTAAAGTACAGTAGAGTAGAGTAGGTCAACTCTTACTATACTCTCTAACTGGTCTCTCTCTGGTCTCTCTCTGGTCTCTCTCTCTGGTCTCTCTCTGGTCTCTTTCTGGTCTCTTTATCTGGTCTCTCTCTATGGTCTCTCTCTCTGGTCTCTCTCTCTGGTCTCTCTCTGGTCTCTCTCCGGTCTCTCTCTGCTCTCTCTCTGCTCTCTTTCTGGTCTCTCTCTCCCTCCAGCAGGTAAGCATTGATCACAGTGAGCCTTCCCTCACCCCATGTCCTGTCTGATCCACACACTCAGGGGAATCCAACACAAACAACACACAACGCAGCAGGACTAAACACACACACACTCTGCTGAGCTGCTGCCGCTAACCGTGAGTGTGCAGCCCATGACTGTAACACACTGTACTCTCTCTCTGGTTTCTTTCTAGTCTCTCTCTGGTCTCTGTGGTCTCTCTCTGGTCTCTCTTTGGTCCCTCTAGTCTCTCTCTGGTCTCTCTGGTCTCTCTCTAGTCTCTCTCTGGTCTCTCTCTGGTCTCTCTCTGGTCTCTCTCTGGTCTCTCTCTAGTCTCTCTCTGGTCTCTCTCTGGTCTCTCTCTGGTCTCTCTCTGGTCCCTCTAGTCTCTCTCTGGTCTCTCTCTGGTCTCTCTGGTCTCTCTCTGGTCTCTCTCTGGTCTCTCTCTGGTCTCTCTCTGGTCTCTCTCTGGTCTCTCTCTGGTCTCTCTTTGGTCTCTCTTTGGTCTCACTCTGGTCTCACTCTGGTCTCTCAGATAACTGTTTCTGTTAGAATCTATACATTTTCACACAAATGTTCCATATTTAGATCCTGACCATCAGCTCCACGTGCAGCAGGGTCTCAGCAGGAGGTGGGGGAGGTTTGGGGGGTGAGTCATGGCTGACCTTGCCTCTCTGTGATGAGGAGTTGGCAGGAGGCAGCTGGTTGTTGGCAGGGTCATGCTAGGGCCCTGGCTGCTCTGTGTCCACTCCTGGTCCAGGACAAGGTCACAGGAGCATGGGCAAATTTGAACTATCTCCCAAAAAGAGAATAGCTACTGTCTCTCTCTGGTCTTTCTCTGGTCTCTCTTTCTGATCTCTCTCTGGTCTCCCTCTGGTCTCTCTCTGGTCTCCCTCTGGTCTCCCTCTGGTCTCTCTCTGGTCTCCCTCTGGTCTCTCTCTGGTCTCTCTCTAGTCTCCCTCTGGTCTCTCTCTGGTCTCCCTCTGATCTCTCTCTGGTCTCCCTCTGGTCTCTCTCTGGTCTCTCTCTCTGGTCTCTCTCTTTCTGGTCTCTCTCTCTCTGGTCTCCCTCTGGTCTCTCTCTGGTCTCTATCTGGTCTCCTTCTGGTCTTTCACGGATCTCTCTCTCTGGTCTTTCTCTGGTCTCTCTCTCTGGTCTCCCTCTGGTCTCTCTCTGGTCTCTCTCTCTGGTCTCCCTCTGGTCTCTCTCTGGTGTCTCTCTGGTCTCCCTCTGGTCTCTCTCTGGTCTCTCTCTAGTCTCCCTCTGGTCTCTCTCTGGTCTCCCTCTGATCTCTCTCTGGTCTCCCTCTGGTCTCTCTCTGGTCTCTCTCTCTGGTCTCTCTCTGGTCTCTCTCTGGTCTCTTTCTGGTCTCTCTCTCTCTGGTCTCCCTCTGGTCTCTCTCTGGTCTCTCTCTGGTCTCCTTCTGGTCTTTCACGGATCTCTCTCTCTGGTCTCTCTCTCTGGTCTCTCTCTGGTCTCTCTCTGGTCTCTCTCTGTGGTCTCTCTCTGGTCTCTCTCTGGTCTCTCTCTGGTCTCTCTCTGGTCTCTCTCTGGTCTCTCTCTGGTCTCTCTCTGGTCTTTCTCTGGTCTCTCTTTCTGATCGCTCTCTGGTCTCCCTCTGGTCTCTCTCTGGTCTCCCTCTGGTCTCCCTCTGGTCTCTCTCTGGTCTCTCTCTAGTCTCTCTCTAGTCTCCCTCTGGTCTCTCTCTGGTCTCCCTCTGATCTCTCTCTGGTCTCCCTCTGGTCTCTCTCTGGTCTCTCTCTCTGGTCTCTCTCTGGTCTCTCTCTGGTCTCTTTCTGGTCTCTCTCTCTCTGGTCTCCCTCTGGTCTCTCTCTGGTCTCTATCTGGTCTCCTTCTGGTCTTTCACGGATCTCTCTCTCTGGTCTCTCTCTGGTCTCTCTCTCTGGTCTCCCTCTGGTCTCTCTCTGGTCTCTCCCTCTGGTCTCTCTCTGGTCTCCCTCTGGTCTCCCTCTGGTCTCTCTCTGGTCTCTCTCTAGTCTCTCTCTAGTCTCCCTCTGGTCTCTCTCTGGTCTCCCTCTGATCTCTCTCTGGTCTCTCTCTGGTCTCTCTCTGGTCTCTCTCTCTGGTCTCTCTCTGGTCTCTCTCTGGTCTCTTTCTGGTCTCTCTCTCTCTGGTCTCCCTCTGGTCTCTCTCTGGTCTCTATCTGGTCTCCTTCTGGTCTTTCACGGATCTCTCTCTCTGGTCTCTCTCTGGTCTCTCTCTCTGGTCTCCCTCTGGTCTCTCTCTGGTCTCTCTCTCTGGTCTCCCTCTGGTCTCTCTCTGGTCTCTATCTGGTCTCCTTCTGGTCTTTCACGGATCTCTCTCTCTGGTCTCTCTCTCTGGTCTCCCTCTGGTCTCTCTCTGGTCTCTCTCTGGTCTCTCTCTGGTCTCCCTCTGGTGTCTCTCTGGTCTCTCTCTGTGAAAACGTGATCAAAATAACAAATGCCCTTTTAATATTTTCAGAGGCGTCTTTTCGTCCAAATTTGCATTTTTTAATTAAACTGAGAATAAGGACCCGGAGTGATAATAACTGTTCGGGAGGTGAGAGAGCAGCCTCAGAGCGAGAGAGCAGCCTCAGAGAGAGAGAGAGCAGCCTCAGAGCGAGAGAGCAGCCTCAGAGAGAGAGAGCAGCCTCGGAGAGAGAGAGCTGCCTCAGAGAGAGAGAGCAGCCTCAGAGAGAGAGAGAGCAGCCTCAGAGCGAGAGAGCAGCCTCGGAGAGAGAGAGCAGCCTCAGAGCGAGAGAGCAGCCTCAGAGAGAGAGAGAGCAGCCTCAGAGCGAGAGAGCAGCCTCAGAGAGAGAGAGCAGCCTCGGAGAGAGAGAGCTGCCTCAGAGAGAGAGAGCAGCCTCAGAGAGAGAGAGCCGCCTCAGAGCGAGAAGAGCACCCTCAGAGCGAGAAGAGCACCCTCAGAGGGAGAGAGCAGCCTCAGAGGGAGAGAGCAGCCTTTCTCTGCTCTCTCTCTCTCTAATGCCTCTCTCCAGTCTCTCTCTGTTCTCTCTCTCTGCACTCTCTTTCTGACCACTCTAGTCTCCCTCTGCTCTGTCTCCCTCCAGTCTCTCTCTCTGCTTTCTCTTTCTGGCCTCTCTGATCTCCCTCCGGTCTCGCTCTGGTCCCTCTTTTTCTGCTCTCTCTTTCCGATCTCTCTTGTCTCTCCCTCTGATCTCTATCTGCTCTCCCTCCAGTCTTTCTGTTCTCCTTCTCTGCTCTCTTTTTCCGACCTCTCTAGTCTCGCTCCTGCTCTCCCTCCGGTCTCGCTCTGGTCCCTCTCTCTGCTCTCCCTCCAGTCTCGCTCTCTGCTCTCTCTCTCTCTGCTCTCTTTCTGCCCTCTCTGCTCTCCCTTCAGTCTCTCTTTCTGCTCTCTTTTCTCCGGTCTCTCTCTGGTCCCTCTCCCTCCGGTCTCTCTCTGGTCCCTCTCCCTCCGGTCTCGCTCTGCTCTGACAGGTGAGTGTGTTCCAGTATTTATCTCCCTGTCGGTTCGCGGTGGATGAAAGGCCAGTTTGTCTGGATTGGAGAATGATGCTGCTACTTAGAGAATCTCTCCATCATCGTCGAGGGAAGAGGAAGAGGAGGAGAGAGGGACGAAGGCTCAGGAGGAGAAGCAATGACTCCCTGGGGCACCATCGACGTTGATGGGTGAGCTGTCAAACGCCCCATTGTCCAAATTACCCAGCATGCACCATGTCTACGCGATGGAACTAATTTAGCGCGTGGCGAGGTGTGGCAAGACATCGCCTTTTTAGAACTTGTTAGAAAGTCTGACTGTCAGGGGACCAGAGGAGGGTCTCTCTCTGGTCTCTTTCTGGTCTCTCATGGTCTTTCTCTGTCTGGTCTCTCTCTGGTCTCTCTTTGGTCTCTTTCTGGTCTCTCTCTCTCTGGTCTCTCTTTGGTCTCTTTCTGGTCTGTCTCTCTAGTCTCTCTCTCTCTCTAGTTTCTGGTCTTTCATCTCTCTCTCTGTCCTCTCTCTATGGTCCCTCTGTAGTCTCTATCTGCTCTCTCTCTGTCCACTCTCTCTCTCTTTTAGTCCCTAGTCTCTATGTCATTCCTCTCTCTGGCTTATCTGCCCTCTCTCGTTCTCTCGAGTCTCCCTCTGTCCTCTCTCTGTGCCCACTCTCTTTCTCTCTGGTCTCTCTCTCTGTGCCCACTCTCTTTCTCTTTGGTCTCTCTCTCTGTACTCTCAAGAGTCTCTGTCTCTCTCTCTCTCTCTCTCTCTCTGTCCTCTCTCTCTCTCTCTGTCTCTCTCTCTGTCCTTTCTCTGTCCTCTCTCTCTCTGCCCTCTGTCTGTCCTCTCTCTGTACTCTCTCCACTCTCTATCTCTGTCCTCTCTCCCTTCTCTCTCTCTCTCTGACTCACTCTCGCTCTCTGTCCTCTCTCTCTGTGATCTCTCTGCTCTCTCTCTCTCTGTCTTCTCTCCCTTCTCTCTCTGTCCTCTCTCCCTTTTCTCTCTGGTCTAATTCCCAAACAGCGGTGGGAGAAAGCCCAATTACTGGCCGTGGTCCGTCTTCACGCCTCATATCTCGGACGACAGGTGTCAGTCTGAATGTGTCACAGCAGGACATCTCCAAACACACTCAGCCAGCCAAGCATTCACTTTGCATAAGCAGGGTCTCTCTCGCTGCTGGAGGCCCGGACACACACAGGGCATCAGGGGTACTCTCCCTGACCTCACACTGTGCTCACTCAAACACAAACTGCAGCTGGTTAATTGAGGACGAGGCCAGAGCAAAGAGGAAGAGAGCGAAACATGGGATAAAGGATTGGTGGTCAGGAGAGAGAGACCAGAGAGAGACCAGAGAGAGACTCTGGTCTCTCTCTCAAGTCTCTCTCAAGTCTCTATCTGGTCTCTCTCTGGTCTCTCTCTAGTGTCTCTCTTTATGCTCTCTCTCTCTGGTCTCTCTCTCAAGTCTCTGTCTGGTCTTTCTCTGGTTTCACTCTAGTCTCACTCTGGTCTCTCTCTAGTCTCTCTCTGGTCTCTGTCTGGTCTCTCTCTGGTTTCTCTCTGGTTTCACTCTAGTCTCTCTCTGGTCTCTCTCTAGTCTCTGTCTGGTCTCTCTCTGGTTTCTCTCTGGTTTCACTCTAGTCTCTCTCTGGTCTCTCTCTAGTCTCTGTCTGGTCTCTCTCTGGTTTCACTCTGGTCTCTCTCTGGTTTCACTCTGGTCTCACTCTGGTGTCTCTCTAGTCTCTCTCTGGTCTCTGTCTGGTCTCTCTCTGGTTTCACTCTGGTCTCTCTCTGGTCTCTCTCTGGTTTCACTCTGGTCTCACTCTGGTCTCTCTCTGGTAGGCCGCAGAGTTTGACCATAATTCTTCTTTCAGAACCTTTTTGAGGATAAAACATTGTAGCATTAAACACCAGTTGATTTTGCAGCAGAGCAATAATCTCTGTATCTTTTGTTTGAAACGTGTTACAGCGACATCAATAAATATTCATGAAGCCTCCGGGCGGGGTCTCTCTCGCTGCTGTAGTGTGCTTTTACTTTGTTGTTAAATCACTGTGGAAAGCTATTGGCCGCCTGCCACGTTCAGCATTCTGCCTCTTCACTCTGGTCCCAGAGAGAGACCAGAGAGAGCAGAGAGAGAGCAGAGAGAGACCAGAGAGAGACCAGAGAGAGACCAGAGAGAGCAGAGAGAGACCAGAGAGAGCAGAGAGAGAGCAGAGAGAGACCAGAGAGAGACCAGAGAGAGACCAGAGAGAGACCAGAGAGAGACCAGAGAGAGACCAGAGAGAGCTCTCAGCAGCAGATCAGAGACACTTCACAGCGTCATGTGAAAACACGGCTTTTGTCTTTTTAAATTTCCTCATATTTAAATATTTAGCTTCAGGGTTCAATCAGCTTTAGAGTACACACTAATGACAGCCTCCATAAACACACACATACAGAAACACACACATACAGTACACGCACACACAGACACACGCACAGACACACACACACAAACATACACAGACACATACACACAAACACATACACACACACACACACACACACACAAACATACATACACACACACACAAACATACACATACACACACACACACACACACAGACACACACTCTCACACACACAGATATACACTCTCACACACACGCCTCTCTCCGTGGCTGGAGGACACTGGGAGATGGAGGTCCCTGGAGGATCCACTCAGTACCTGTCATCAAACCTCACTCTTCCTGGTCCTGGTTCTGGTTCCCCCAGAGACACACCATAGATCCTCCGCTCGGCTCGGCTCCCAGGGCCCGCCCCCAACACCGCGTCAATCAAACGGTGGATGGTAATAACACGGGATTATGGGATTATGACACAATCTGGCTCAGGTTCAATCAACACATACAAGAGTTTTACATGTGACTCTGCAGCGAGAAAGCGGAGAGAGAGAGAGCGGAGAGAGGGAGAGCAGAGAGAGAGAGAGCGGAGAGAGGGAGAGCGGAGAGATGGAGAGCAGAGAGAGACCAGGGAGAGAGCGGAGAGAGAGAGAGAGCGGAGAGAGGGAGAGCAGAGAGAGAGAGAGCGGAGAGAGGGAGAGCGGAGAGATGGAGAGCAGAGAGAGACCAGGGAGAGAGCGGAGAGAGAGAGAGAGCGGAGAGAGAGAGAGAGCGGAGAGAGGGAGAGCAGAGAGAGAGAGAGCGGAGAGCGGGAGAGAGCATAGAGAGAGAGCAGGGAGAGAGAGAAAGAGAGAGAGGTAAGAGAGCAGAGAGAGAGAGCCGAGAGAGAGAGCCGAGAAAGGGAGAGAGGAAGAGAGAGAGAGCCGAGAGAGAGCCAAGAGAGAGCAGAGAGAGAGTGGAGAGAGAGTAGCGAGAAAGCGGAACAAGAGCAGAGAGAGAGAGACAGAGTGGAGAGAGTGCAGAGGGAGCGAGCGGAGAGAGACTAGGAAGAGAGCAGAGAGACCAGAGAGAGAGCAGAGACACCAGAGAGAGCAGAGAGAGCAGAGAGAGAGCAGAGACACCAGAGAGAGCAGAGAGAGCAGAGAGAGAGCAGAGAGAGAGACCAGAGAGAGAGAGCAGAGGGCGTAGCAGGAGCCATGAGGGTGAGTGGTGTAAGTGCTGTATACAGTACATGTGTCAGAGGTGATGGCTGAATTAATGTGACACGCCGCACGTAATGTACCGCTGTAAATCTGTGCCCGGCGGATCAGAGAGGGCAGGAGGAGATAAATCAGACACACACACATATACACACACATACACACACACACACACACACACACACACACATACACACACACACACACACACACACACACAAACAAGAGGGAGAGAGCGAGAAAGACCTGAGTAAGAGAGAGAGAGCAGAGAGAGACTAGAGAGAAACCAGAGAGAGACCAGAGAGAGTCTAGAGAGGGACCAGAGAGGGACCAGAGAGAAACCAGAGAGAGACCAGAGAGAGACCAGAGAGAGAGATTCACCAGGACCAGGACCAGGACCAGGACCAGTCGGACGGGAGCAGAGACTGTAGTGTTTCCAAAGCTTCATTGTAATTTCCTGTTTGTTTATTTGAGGGCAGTGAGGCTCAGAGGGTTTCACCACCAACGAGGAGAGAGAGAGAGCAGAGAGAGAGAGAGAGAAAGAGAGAGAGAGAAGAGAGAAAGTTTAGGAAGGAATAGAGAAGGAGTTGGTTACTTCAAAAGGAAAACAATGTGAGGAGAGAGGAGGAAAATCTGGTGCACACCGGGGTAGTCTTGCACAGTTTTTCCAATGTGGTTTTACTGCAAATGGCAAATAAATGAATCTGAATCTGAATCTGAAATAGAGAGTGAGGCCTGACCTCAGGGCGAGAGAGTACACAACCATCTAGTTACTGTACAACACTGCAGTGACTTAGGAGTGAGTAGGACTGGGATTATATTCAAATAAATGACGACGATGTGTACACACTCAGCAAGTAGAGGAGAGTAGAGTAGAGTAGAGTAGAGTAGAGTAGAGTAGAGTAGAGTAGAGTAGAGTAGAGTAGAGTAGAGTAGAGTAGAGTAGAGTAGGGTAGAGTAGAGTTCTGTTTCCTGTCTCTCTCCGGATGTTTAGAAAAGTATAAAAAGCAGAGATTTGGTAAACAGATCCTAAAGTTCTCAACGTTTCCCCGACTGTCGCTCTATTCCAGGATCTGACCCACATTCTCCTGAACCCACTGCAGCGGAGCAGACCAACTCACCTGCGGGGGTCACAGGGACATACCATCAACACCACAGAGAGGGGTCACAGGGACAAACCATCAACACCACAGAGAGGGGTCACAGGGACATACCATCAATACCACAGAGAGGGGTCACAGGGACAAACCATCAACACCACACAGTGGGGGGGAGAAGGGACAAACCATCAACACCACACAGAGGGGTCACAGGGACATACCATCAACACCACAGAGAGGGGTCACAGGGACATACCATCAACACCACAGGGTGAGGGGGAGAAGGGACATACCATCAACACCACAGAGAGAGGGATCACAGGGACATACCATCACCACCACAGAGAGGGGTCACAGGGACATACCATCAACACCACACAGAGGGATCGCAGGGACGTACCATAAACACCACAGAGAGGGGTCACAGGGACATACCATCAACACCATACAGACGGTCTGAGCAAAAGATAGCTGGAGCCTGTTTCCTTATATGGGCATTTGTTCTGATGGGGGTAGCTTTGTGGTGTGACAGGAGAGAGAGAGAGAAAGAGAAAGAGAAGGAGAGAGAGAGAGAGAGAGAGACAAGAGACAAGAGAGAGAGCTCAAAAATAACAAATTGTAAACCGCTTTGTGACTCTGGTCTGTGAAAGGCGGTATATAAATAAAGATTACTTACTTACTTACAAAGAGAGGGACCAGGGAGAGAGAGAGAGAGGGATCAGAGAGGGACCAGAAAGAGACCAGTGAGAGAGACACCAAAAAGAGAGACCAGAGAGAGACCTGAGAGAAAGACCAGAGAGAGACCAGAGAGAGACCAGAGAGAGACAAGAGAGAGACCAGAGAGAGACAAGAGAGAGACCAGAGAGAGAAAAGAGAGAGACCAGACAGAGAGAGATTTGATGCCTGGCTCAGGACTACTGGAGCCGGAGGATTTTCTCTAATATGCATGTTTATATTGGTATGGGGGAAAACTAAACTATGCAGACATGGGGAGAACATGCAAACTCCACTGGGACACACCAGGATTCGAACCCAGGACCTTCTTGCAAACAAGCCAGAGCGATAACCACTCAGCCACCACGCCCTCAAAATGGAGGGAGCAGACACAAATGGTCACAAAGTCAATAGTGGCCAATCTTCAACCATGAGCACTTCCCTAGTCTCGGGACAACACTGGCAGAGAGCTACTGTCTCGGGACAACAATGGCAGAGAGCTACTGTCTCGGGACAACACTGGCAGAGAGCTACTCCGTTTACACACCGGACAGAATGATGAGCTACACTGGATTCTTTTGTTTTCATCTTCTTCTTAAAAAATGGAACAAAAGTTGTATTCCTATTTTTAGCACAGATGAAGCTAATTTATTATGTGTTCTATTTGTAAATATTGTTAAAGACAGTTAAAAAGTTTGGGCAAAATATACATTTATTTTGATTCTTTTGCAGTGTATGTGATTCCCATAACAACAATAGTCATTTTTGTATTGACTCGTAAGATCATCTTTTGGGGAGCTACTGTGAAGACGGTAGAGAGCTAATGGTAGCTCCAGAGCCATAGGTTGGACACACTGTACATTATGCAGTTGATACTTTTCCACCTTTCTTCTTCTTCTGTATTTGATAATTGAGTGCAAGAATCCACTTATCTTGTGATCTTAACCTGTGAAATATCGACTTGAATGAAATGGAAGGTCCTTGTATTTTGGAATGTGCACAGCGGAGACAAAGGCGGTCCCAGACGCCGCCAACGCCCCCCCACACCCCCATCTCACACCTGTCACAGACGTGTTAATAGAAAAACACTGGATGCGTTTTACAGACTGCATTAGTGCCTCCCCCCTCCCTCCTCCTCCCTCCTCCTCCTCCCTCCTCCTCCCCTCCTCCTCCTCCCCCCCTCTCTCCTCCTCCCTCCTCTCTCCTACTGATGCTGCTGCCTCTTCGCCGCTGAAATAGGTCAAGCAGATATAATGCAAGGGCAACGAGGAGCAAGTGTGTAGATGTCCCCCCCTCACCCCTCCCTCATCAGAGAGCTCGTCCTGGTCCCCTGGTGCCACACGCAGACACAGGTTGCGGAGAGGCTAGCCACAACACTGCGACCTCCAGCCACAACAATCACTCACTCACTCCCTCCTTACCTCACTCACGCACTCACTCGCTTGCTCACTCACTCCCTCCCTCCCTCCCTAACACGCCAGAGCGATAACCCCTCAGCCACCACACCCTCAAAATGGAGGGTGCAGACACAAACAGTTACAAAGTCAATAGTAGCCAAACTTCCCCATGAGCACTTCCCTAGTAGGCTTAGGCTACATTGAGCTAGCAGGTTAGCATCTCACTCCCTCCCTCCCTCACTCACTCACTCACTCACTCACTTACTCACTCACTCACTCACTAACTCACCCCCTTCCTCCCTCACTCACTCACTCCCTCCCTCCATCCCTCCCTTTCTCACTCACTCACCCACTCACTCCCTCATTCCCACCCTTTCTCACTCACTCACTCACCCCCTTCCTCCCTCACTCACTCACTCCCTCCCTCCATCCCTCCCTTTCTCACTCACTCACCCACTCACTCCCTCATTCCCACCCTTTCTCACTCACTCACTCACCCCCTTCCTCCCTCACTCACTCACTCCCTCCATCCCTCCCTTTCTCACTCACTCACCCACTCACTCCCTCATTCCCACCCTTTCTCACTCACTCACTCACTCACTAACTCACCCCCTTCCTCCCTCACTCATTCACTCCCTCCATCCCTCCCTTTCTCACTCACTCACTCACTCACTCACTCCCTCCATCCCTCCCTTTCTCACTCACTCACTCACTCACTCCCTCATTCCCACCCTTTCTCACTCACTCAGTCACTAACTCACCCCCTTCCTCCCTCACTCACTCACTCCCTCCATTCCTCCCTTTCTCACTCACTCACTCACTCCATCCCTCCCTTTCTCACTCACTCACGCACTCACTCACTCACTCCTAACTTTAGCATAATAAAGAAGTGTAAAACAGTATGTGAGAGACGTTGGGAGTCGGTAAAAACGCTGAATAATAAAACTGATGAATTATTTTAATATTTTTCTGATCTTTGAGAAACTTTATACTTTGCTGTGAAAGCGTCAGTCTGATTTCCCAAAGTGATAAAACTTCAGCAGACTTTGGCGTGTGTCGGTTTATCGCCTTCTGCCGGAGTCATGCGTGTGTAATAAACGTGAGTGTGAACGTGTCTTTGAGGTCAGCGGCAGCAGAGGACCATCAACGCTCCTCTGGTGTCTGCGGAATGTGGAAAACTGAAGGAACCAGTGACGTCTGTGGTCAATGTGTGGAATGAAGAAGAATCGCCTCAAGAAGGAACGGACCAGGAGCTTACACCGTCATCACTCACTCTGATACACACACAGTACACATACACACACACACATACATACACACACACACGTACACATACACACACACACGTACACATACACACATGGCTGTACCCAGGACTGAGGCTGTAGACCCAGGACTGAGGCTGTAGACCCAGGACTGAGGCTGTAGACCCAGGACTGAGGCTGTAGACCCAGGACTGAGGCTGTAGACCCAGGACTGAAGCTGTAGACCCATGACTGAGGCTATAGATCCAGGACTGAGGCTGTAGACCCATGACTGAGGCCATAGATCCAGGACTGAGGCTGTAGACCCAGGACTGAGGCTGTAGACCCAGGACTGAGGCTGTAGACCCAGGACTGAGGCTGTAGACCCAGGACTGAGACTGTAGACCCAGGACTGAGACTGTAGACCCAGGACTGAGACTGTAGACCCAGGACTGAGGCTGTAGACCCAGGACTGAGACTGTAGACCCACACCAGATCTACAGTAGAGTCTAAGGACAGTGTTTTTCCCGCTCCTGATGAACCAAAGTCTCTCTATATCTTTGTTATTATTGCATTTCCTGTAAGAACTCTTTGATTCTCTGATCTGCTGTCGGTGAATCCACAACTTTGTAAAGTCCTCTTACACGACTGCTGCTGTGGTTTTGGGGCGATCCACAAATACATCGAATTGAACCGACTCGGATGCAGTTCTTTGGAGACAGACTTCTGGACTTGTCTTCGTCTCTCTCTGGATCTCTCTCGTCTTTCTAGTCTCTCTCGTCTTTCAGCCCCGGTCTCGCTCGTGAGTTTAAATGTGGCTGAAGCGTGAAGCGTGAGGTCCCGGGTCTTGGGTCGGTCTCCGGCTCCCTCCGCCGCCTGTGACCTTTTCTCCAGTGGAACAGGATCTCGCCCATCTCCATCTCTCTCATGCATTAATGATTTCTGTGGTGAGCTCGGGGCATCTGTCAGACTCTGTGTCCACCGGGCTTCACCTACACACTCACAAGGACACACCCCCCCCCCGCTGAGAGAGAGAGAGAGAGTACACAGCTACACTCTGAGGAGAGAGCGGCTGTGTACAGAGGTCTCCCGGGGTTTCACAAAGAAGCACAAATCAGATATTAAAGGGTCAGGAAGTAAGTTTTCTTCAGTAAGCATAAGGCTTAAAAATTTTCATCATTCACTCATAACATTCATAACTATTCAAGATACAAGAGTTTATTTGCCATCTGCAGTAAAAACCACATTGGAAAAACCGTGCAAGACTACCCCAGTGTGCAGCAGGATAGTATCATGGATCTATAATAATGTCTGGATGGAGTGTTAGCTTATAGCTGTTCCATCCATGGCCACAGGGGGCGCTGTGGTAAATTCACGTTACCCAGAAAAATCCACCGAGTCCATAGAACTTAATGTAAACTAAAACAGCTCGACCTCAGCTGACAGAGAACCTGATGGAGAACCAGACAGAGAACCAGACAGAGAACCAGACAGAGAACCAGACAGAGAACCTGACAGAGAACCAGACAGAGAACCTGGCAGAGAACCTGGCAGAGAACCTGGCAGAGAACCTGACAGAGAACACGACAGAGAACACGACAGAGAACCAACAACTTTCATAAGAAGGATTCTGTAGATTTTAGTGTCCCTTGTCATCCTGAACTTTTTTTCTTCTTAAATCCTTCAGTTTTATTTAAATCCACACTTTTCTGCCACAAACTCTGCTCCTTTCTTTCCCGCTCTAACTCCCGCTCTGATTGGTCAGAACGCCACCCTCTGATTGGTGCATGAGAGCCACACACTCGTATTTGGCGCAAAGCATCATGGGAGCTTGTCCACTGCACAGAAACGGGAGGACCAGACGATGTCCAAATATGGGCGAGTTCTGCTAATCTTTCCGTCTCCATGGCGACACATGCACTACTGAGCACATTAATTTGAATACGCCGCCATCTTGGATCGTCAGGGCTTGGAAAGTAAACACCAGGCCTCCAGCCACGGCACACACACTTTTCATGATTTTATTTTTACTTTATTGAATCATTTCTATCCGTCCACTGCCTTCCGCTTTATCCGTTGCCAAGTCATGTGGGCAGCCGTCTAAGGAGAACCAGGAGTCCAGGACAAACAGGAAATAACAGATTATTCAACATCACTGAACGATGCGAAGGCAGAGGCGAGTTTGTAACATATTCCACTGAGACGGACATCTCCCTCAGTGAGATGTCAAAAACACATCTGACGCACTGATACAAAATGGCCGCCGCAGAATAATCCTAAACTCGGTGCATTTTGGGTTTTGTTTTTGCTCCGTGTCATAAAAATGCTCCTGATTCAAACAAAAACCAAGAAATAAGTCTACTTTGACAACAGGAAACAGGGAGAGTTGAAGCCAAACTTTATCCATGAGCACTTCCCTATTGGGCTTCAGTGAGCTAGCGGGTTAGCATCATCCACACAGGTACAGTGTTGCTATGTTTACACAGTCTATGCTTCCTCCATTACAGCAGAAATGTACAAAGTTGACAGCGAGAAAAACGGCTTTAAAAATCAACCGTCCAATTATAATCCCGGCCTCTCACAAACCGCTCCGTGTCGAACGTTCTTCGGCGTGTGTTCTGCTCGCCGCCGTTTAGCTAATAACGCCGGGAGCAAAGGTACAGGCGGCTAAGTGTTTACTAATGTGAGAGTTTGTCTGGAGCCACCGCCGTTTTGTCTCCGAGAAAAGAATTCTCACAGCATTTCATCTCCAGTCTCTTTCTCCCGTAAGCAATTCTTTTTTTTAGAAACGAGAAATGTCAAACCGTTACCTCCCGTCTCCGTCTGAGGCCCGGAATATTCCACCGACAGATTCTGCTTCCCGCTCTCTCCTCGATCGCATCAAAGTTTTATTTTCTCCCACTGTGAGCTAAAGCAACTTCATAGAAATGTCCCCAGAGAAACTGCAGCGGTGTCTGTCTGAGCGGAGTTTGCATGTTCTCCTTGTGTCTGTGTAGGATTCTTCCAGGTGCTCCGGTTTCTCCTACCACTAAAAACATGGATATACGGTAAAATTCTCCAGCTCTGGTCAAATGCAGAGGGATGAATAATGTGCATTTTTACTTTTACAACGCTAACAGATGCTAACTCGGTGATTCAATGAAAGTGAAAATGATAATGAGATGAGCGAGAGACCAGAGAGAGACCAGAGAGAGAGACCAGAAAGAGACGAGAGAGAGAGACCAGAAAGAGACCAGAAAGAGACCAGAGAGAGACCAGAGAGAGACCAAGAGCCACTTTTGGACCATCCTGTAAAGACGTTTTGGAGAGGAAAGAAGAGGCTTTACAAATGCATCGATAAATTCTCCTTCCAGGTACACCCCCCAGAGGCTAGGAGTGGTATTGCAAGTATAAAAGTGCGCACGCTCTGGACCTTTCTGATCCGTGACCCGCCCACACCGGTCCGTGTTATTATTATTCCTGTGAGGAGGAGGAGCAGGACTGAGGAGCGACCTGAGAGAGGAATATTGTAATGTTGAGGCTGTCAGCTGAAGATTCATGACAGCAGCAGAGACACGGGTCTGTGCGAGGCAGAGGACGTCTCCCTCCATCTCCCTCCATCTCCCTCCATCTCCCTCGGTCTCACTCTGGTCCACAGAAGAATATTAGACAGTGTGATCTCTCTGGGATTTTTCCACATCACTGGGCACTGTTTGCAAAGCAGTAGTGTTCGAGACGACTGAGTGACTGCTAAAGCAGAGAGAGAGAGAGATACAGCAGGAGAGAGAGAGACCAGAGAGAGAGAGAAACCAACCAGATAGCACGAGAGAGAGAGACATCAGGAGAGAAAGAGAGATCAGAGAGACAGCAGAAGAGAGAGAGACCAGAATGAGAGAGGCAAGAGAGAGAGAGCAGAGAAACAGCAGGAGAGAGAGACCAGAGAGAGAGACCAGAGAAACTACTCTCTGGTCTTTCTCTCTGGCCTCTCTCTCCTGCTGTTTCTCTGGTCTCTCTCGCTCTCTCTCTGGTCTCTCTCTCTGGCCTCTCTCTCTCTGGTCTCTCTCTCATGCTGTTTCTCTGATCTCTCTCTCTAGAGTAGAGTAAAGAAGCAGTAATAACAGTATTTCTTCAACCATGGATCTTAAACACACACATTTCTACAGGAGGCACACAAACACACAACAAAAGAAGACACACAAACACACAACCACAGGAGACACACAAACACACAACAACAGGAGACACACAAAAGCACAACCACAGGAGACACACAACCACACAACAAGAGGAGAGACACACAGATATGCACAGACACACACACAAACACACAACACACACACACACACAAACAGATACACACACACACACACACACACAGATACAGAAACACACAGAAACATTTAAACCACTTTACAGAAAAAAACTCTTTCTTGTGTTCTGTGTGTCGGAGGTCTGAGAGGACCACCAAAAGGAGGGGGGACCAAAGAGAGAGACCAGAGAAAGACCAGAGAGAGACCAGAGAGAGAGACCAGAGAGAGACCAGAGAGAGAGACCAGAGAAAGACCAGAGAGAGACCAGAGAGAGAGACCAGAGAAAGACCAGAGAGAGACCAGAGAGAGAGACCAGAGAGAGACCAAAGAGAGACCAGAGAGAGACCAGAGAGAGAGACCAGAGAGAGACCAAAGAGAGACCAGAGAGAGACCAGAGAGAGAGACCAGAGAGAGACCAGAGAGAGACCAAAGAGAGACCAGAGAGAGAGACCAGAGAGAGACCAAAGAGAGACCAGAGAGAGACCAGAGAGAGAGACCAGAGAGAGACCAGAGAGAGACCAAAGAGAGACCAGAGAGAGAGACCAGAGAGAGACCAGATAGACACCAAAGAGAGACCAGAGAGAGATGAGAGAGACCAAAGAGAGACCAGAGAGAGACCAGAGAGAGACTAGAGAGACCAGAGAGAGACCAGAGAGAGACTAGAGAGACCAGAGAAGACCAGAGAGAGATGAGAGAGACCAGAGAGAGAGAGACACCAGAGAGGGACCAGAAAGGTTCACATTTAGCCCATTTAGACCTGTTCTAGTTAATGCTTGATGGATCTGGGAGAGTGTGTAATTAGTTTGTAAGTTGTTGTGCGTCTGAGTGTGCGTCTCTCTGATCCCGTTAGTGAGTGTGTAATCCCTGCCACTGTCGGTGTCGGAACACGTTAGTCGCTGATCACAGAGAAGGTTCTAAGAGAGCAAAACTGAGAGAGACACTAAGGTGAAGAGTGAGTCAACTGGGATTAGGATTAACACAAACACACACCAGAGAGAGAAGGAGAGAGAAAGGGAGAGTGAGGGAGAGAGAGAGAGAGAGAGCGAGCGAGAGGGAGAGACCAGGAGAGAGAGAGAGAGAGAGGGAGAGAGAGAGAGAGAGAAGGAGAGAGCGAGAGAGAGAGGGAGAGAGAGAGGGAGAGAGAGAGGGGGGGGGGGGGGGGAGAGAGAGAGATAGAGAGAGAGAGAGAGAGGGAGAGGGAGAAAGAGAGAGAGAGAGAGGGAGAGAGAGAGAGAGAGAGAGCCAGAGAGAGAGACCAAAGAGAGACCAGAGAGAGAGACAAGATCGAGAGAGAGACCAGAGAGAGACCAGAGAGAGACCAGTTCAGGGTAAGTAAACAGATAATTAAACGATGACCTTCGAAATCTAATTTATTTTATAATGTTTTTGGTTAAAAAAAGCCTCTGGAGCTGAACGTCCGACTCAAGGTCAATGTTGGAACAATCTTTACAGAGTTCAATCATTTAACATTTTTTATTTATTTTTTTGCTAAAAAATGTTTATTTCCTGAATCTGGAAGAACCTGAGGCCGGGTTCAAAGTCAGATTCAGGACTAAAAAAATACTTCAATCCAATGTGTTAAGAGGGAGAGACCAGAGAGAGACCAGAGTGAGACCAGAGAGAGACCAGAGAGAGAGACCAGAGAGAGACCAGAGTGAGACCAGAGAGAGACCAGAGAGAGAGATTAGAGAGAGAGAGACTAGAGAGAGGGACCAGAGAGAGAGGCCAGAGAGAGAGACTAGAGAGAGGGACCAGAGAGAGAGAGACCAGAGAGAGACCAGGGAGAGAGGCCAGAGAGAGAGACTAGAGAGAGAGGCCAGAGAGAGAGAGACTAGAGAGAGAGGCCAGAGAGAAACAAGAGAGAGAAACCAGAGAGAGAGACCAGAGAGAGAGACAATAGACCAGAAAGAGAGAAGAGAGAGACCAGAGAGAGAGAGAGAATAGAAAGACCATCTCCAGAGAAAGACGATAAAAAGAAACCAGGAAAAGAGAGCAGAGAGATGCAGTGATTGTAAATGACTGGTACGACACCATGAAGCGCTCGGTGAGACCATGGTCTTTTTAAATGCGCTACGTAAATAAAAACAACTCACTATTTTCACCTTGACTCAATTTCTCTTCAACTTGTTTCTTTCTCTCGACGCTGACAAATCTGGCAAAATCTCCAGAACCATTCCTAAAAACGGCATGTTGAGAGACCAGGGGGGAGGAGGGGGGAGAGGGGGGAGGAAAGTGTGTGGAGGTGACAGGCGCAGCGGCAGAGGAGGGTGTGGTGGGAGTGGGGGGGCTCCAGGGGGGGTCCTCTCCATGGGTGGGTGGTTCGGCTTCACCAAACTGTCACCGGGCCTCTCCCCCCTCCTCACCCCCCTCCCCTCTGTGACATGATGATTAATGGGGATCAGGGAAGTGGTGTAATCCGAGAACATGGAACGATTTTAGAAATGTTTTTGTTTCTTATTCACAGAGACTGAAAGTGTGTCGTGTCTGTTCAGTCGTGAGAGAGCCACAGTCTACATTTATGGTCATTGATGGTCATTGATGGTCATTGATAGTTATTGATGGTCATTGATGGTCATTGATGGTCATCAAATCCTTCATTTGGATACATCAAAAGTCCATTTAATACATACAAATATTAAACATTTGCTCCACCTTGCTCTCTCTGTCTCTCTGGTCTCTCTCTTTCTATATGGTCTCTCTCTCTCTGGTCCCTCTCTCTGGTCTCTCTTTCTGGTCTCTCTCTCTGCTTATTAGCTCCACCTTGCTCTCTCTGGTCCATCTCACTGGTCCCTCTCGCTGGTCTCTCTCTTTCTCTCTCTTTCTGGTCCCTGTCTCTGGTCCCTCTCTCTGGTCTCTCTCTCTGGTCTCTCTCTTTCTCTCTAGTCTCTCTCTGGTCTCTCTTTCTGGTCTCTCTCTTTCTCTCTGGTCTCTCTCTGGTCTCTCTTTCTGGTCTCTCTCTCTCCCTCTGGTCTCTCTTTCTGGTCTCTCTCTCTGCTCATTTGCTCCACCTTGCTCTCTCTGGTCTCTCTCTCTCTGGTCTTTCTCTCTGGTCTCTCTCTTTTTCTCTGGTCTCTCTTTCTGGTCTCTCTCTGGTCTCTCTCTAGTCTCTCTCTGGTCTCTCCCTCTGGTCTCTCTTTCTGGTCTCTCTCTGGTCTCTCTCTAGTCTCTCTCTGGTCTCTCTTTCTGGTCTCTCTCTTTCTCTCTGGTCTCTCTTTCTGGTCTCTCTCTTTCTCGCTGGTCTCTCTCTAGTCTCTCTCTGGTCCCTCTCGCTAGTATCTCTCTTTCTCTCTGGTCTCTCTCTCTGCTCCTTAGCTCCACCTTGGTCTTTCTGGTCTCTCTCTCTGGTCTCTCCCTCTGGTCTCTCTCTCTGCTCATTAGCTCCCCCTTGCTGTAGGGAGGGCTGTAATTCTATTCTAAAGTGATGTCTGTATAAAAACCTGTTAAAGGTATTGCTATTTTCTTCCCATTGTTTTCACAGAATGACCCTGTTTTTCTAATCCATGCGACATCACCCTAATGCCCACATCCTCCTCCTGCTGTGTCTCTGATGGTTCCTCTGATGGTCTCTCTGATGGTTTGTCATATCCACAGCCTCATATTAAAGCTAATAAACCAAGAGAGTTGTACAAGTCGCGGATCTGCAGCGGATCACACTGAGACTGTAATGTTTATGGTTCTGTACGATGGTCTGCTCCTATTGTCACAGAAGGACTGAAAGAGGGGAGAGAGAGGGGGAGATGGAGGAGAGAGAGGGGGGAGAGAGAGGAGAGAGGGGAGAGGAGAGAGGAGAGAGAGAAACACCAGAAAGAGACCAGAAAAATTGGATCACTCTCCCCCTGGTCTCTCTCTGGTCTCTCTCTGGTCTCTCTCTATTCTCTCTGTCTAGTCTCTCTCTAGTCTCTCTCTAGTCTCTCTCTGCACTCTCTTTCTCTGCTCTCTGCTCTCTCACTCTGATCTCTCTCTCTGGTCTCTCTCTGTCTCTCTGGTCTCTGTCTCTGGTCTCTCTCTGGTCTCTCTTTCTCTCTGGTCCCTCTCTAGTCTCACGCTAGTCTCTCTCTGGTCTCTCTCTGGTCTCTATCTCTGGTCTCTCTCTGGTCTCTCTCTCTGGTCTCTCTGGTCTCTCTCTCTGGTCTCTCTCTGGTATCTCTCTGGTCTCTCTCTGGTCTCTCTCTGGTCTCTCTCTGGTCTCTCTCTGGTCTCTCTCTGGTCTCTCTCTGGTCTCTCTCTGGTCTCTCTCTGGTCTCTCTCTCTGGTCTCTCTCTGGTCTCTCTGGTCTCTCTCTCTGGTCTCTCTCTGGTCTCTCTCTGGTCTCTCTCTGGTCTCTCTCTGGTCTCTCTCTGGTCTCTCTCTGGTCTCTCTCTGGTCTCTCTCTGGTCTCTCTCTGGTCTCTCTTTTCTCCCTTAGCCGTACGTGCTGAAAACGTCAGAGACTTGTTTACATCGTGAGTAAAACATAATGAAGACCGAGCAGACCCATTAGGAGTTTGTGGCCGTCCTGGAAACCGAGCCCTGATGAGTGATTGCAACGAGACGGAGACGCCGCAGACTCACATGGTCCCGGTACCATCGACATTAGCATAGAAACCTCCTGTTAGCTAGCGCACGCCGGGGTTTATGGGAATTCTTTTAAAGTGCCGGCGTCAGTGTATGGCACATAAATCCTATAGCGGAGAGAATATGCAAAATATCCGGCAACAAATGAGATTCTGCGGCGAGGAAAGTGTGGGGACCTGTGTGAGGAGAGCGGCACGAGCCCGGAGGTGGCGCAGGGGAGAGCGGCACGAGCCCGGAGGTGGCGCAGGGGAGAGCGGCACGAGCCCGGAGGTGTCACGGTGCGGCAGTTATGGATCTGTAGCGTAGTATTCACGTTATGAATCCAGGAAGAGGAGATTAATGTGAGTTCTGTTTCAGAGCGAGGGAAGAGTTTGTTTGAGGAAAAAGAGAGAGAGCAACAATAGACACCTGCGCTCTACTCGTAGAGTAGAGTAGAGTAGAGTAGAGTGGAGTAGAGTGGAGTAGAGTAGAGTGGAGTAGAGTAGAGTGGAGTAGAGTAGAGTAGAGTAGAGAAGAGTGGAGTAGAGTAGAGTAGAGTAGAGTAGAGTAGAGTAGAGTAGAGTAGAGTAGAGTAGAGTAGAGTAGAGTAGAGTGGAGTAGAGTGGAGTAGAGTAGAGTAGAGTGGAGTAGAGTAGAGTAGAGTGGAGTAGCCAGAGATCTCAGACCTAATCACAGAGGGAACAAAGACATTCCGCTGCTCAAATCTCTTTCTTTCTGGAGTCTCTCTCTGGTCTTGCTCTTTGGTCTATCCCTCTGATCACTCTCTCTCTCTCTGGTCTCTCTCTCTCTCTGGTCTCTCTCTCTCTCGACTCTGACACAGAAAATGCCTGCGAGACCAGGGAGAGACAAGAGAGAGAGACACCAGAGAGACGACAGGGTGAGACAAGCAAGAAACCAGAGAGAGAGAGAGAGACCATGGGTGAGAGAGCAGAGATAAAGACATACAGATGGTTAAGTGAACCATGTGATCGTCGGGAACCACGGTAACACATGGTCTGTGCTGGCTCCATCACACCATGAGATTAAATAGCCATGAAAAAGACAGACCTGTGAATTACACATGGTCTTTGTAGTCCTCTGGAGAAGTCCTCCATCTTGTTATTGCCCCGAGGTGTTTCTCCGAAGGGTCAGAGGTCACAGCGGCATCAAAGTCACCAGGAAGCACCACAGATAAGGACTCTATAGACACCATGTACTGCTACCAGATGTGTCTGTGTGGACCAGACATTCTGGTGTCTCTCTCTGGTCTCTCTCTTCTCTCACTCTGGTCTCTTTCTGGTCTCTCTCTCTGCTCTCTCTCTGATCTGTCTCTGCTCTCTCTCTCACTGTGCTCTCTCTCTCTCTATCTCTGGTCTCTCTCTCTCTCTATCTCTAATCTCTCTATATTTCTCTGGTCTCTCTCTCTCTCTCTATGCTCTCTCTCTCTCTCTGGTCTCTTTCTCTCTCTGTCTCTCTCTCTGTCTCTCTCTCTGCTCTCTCACTCTCTCTCTGGTCTCTCTCTCTCTCTGCTGTCTCTCTCTCTGGTCTCTTTCTCTCTGCTCTCTCTCTCTCTCTGCTCTCTCTCTCTCTGTAATCTTGTAGCAGTCACACTGATTAGTCTTGTATCAGACTCTGAGCAGAACTCATCAGGCACATCTGGTCCTGACACCAGAAAACAAGATCCGCATTAACAAACAAATAGAAAACAATTAGTCACGACTCAGATCCTCTGCGCCACAGACAAAAGCGAGAGAGCGAACTCAGCCACAGAACTCAGAGAGAGAGACACTGTATGAGTCAGCAATCCCAAACCAACTACATCTTTAAAGAAGAAATATCAGACATTAAAATTCTAATGAGACTAATTACTTTGTCCTGTCATGGTTTAGAGAAAGTGGAATGTTATGATTATTATGATTGAAAATGTGTGAGAAACCCATACGAGGGTAAAACAATGGTTTTTAGGGCATGTAGTTCCCTGAGCTGCCACCAGGGGGAGCTAAGAAAATCAGACACAGGGGATTGTAAAGACTCAATACTCGCTGGTCTCTCTTTGGTCTGTTTTTGGTCTTTCTATGCTCTCTCTCTGCTCTCTCTCTGGTCTCTCTCTGGTCTCTCTCTCTGGTCTCTTTCCAGTCTTACTCACTGGTCTCCGACTTTTCTCTCTCTATCGTCTCTTTCCAGTCTCTCTCTCCGATGGCTCTCTAGTCTCTCTCTCTGGTCTTTCTCTCTGCTCTCTCTCTCTCTGGTTTCTTTCCAGTCTTACTCACTAGTTTCCAACTTTTCTCTCTCTATGGTCTCTCTCTAGTCTCTCTCCCTCTAGTCTCTCTCTTTCTTTCCTCTCTCTTTGGTCTCTCTTTGGTCTCTCCCTCCAGTCTCTTGGTCAGCTCTCTCTCCCTCTAGTGTCTCTCTGGTCTCTCCCTGTAGTCTCTCTCTCTGCTCTGTCTTTCTTCTTTCTCTCTGGTCTCTCCCTCCAGTCTCTCTCTCTCTCAGCTCTCTCTGCTTACTCTCTCTGCTCTCTCTCTGGTCCAGACATCAGCTCAATGTAAGTTAATAGTAACCAAAGGTAGTCGTAGCCAAACTTCCACTTCCTTATCGCGCCTCACCGAGGTAGCGTGTTAGCATCGTCAGTAACCAGGCTATGACAAACACATGTAGCTTCTGGGCTAAGCTAACGGCCTCAAACCAAACACATGTAGCTTCTGGGCTAAGCTAACGGCCTCAAACAAACACATGTAGCTACTGGGCTAAGCTAACGGCCTCAAACAAACACATGTAGCTTCTGGGCTAAGCTAACGGCCTCAAACAAAGACGTCTGAGTGCTGCATTCTTCCCTGTCGTCTCCACGTCTCC